TTGATGACTGCTTCCTGGTGATGTATTGAGAAAGCAACCAGGGATTTCTAAAACCTGAAACTCAAAAAGGTGAACAATCTATCAGCCTGCATTTTCTGGGGAGTGTGACTCAGAAGTATGGCAGCTGTGCACAGCCTGGTAATGTGGCAGGGCTCCCTAGGCACCGGCTGGCTGAGAGGAAGTCCTGCCATTTTCAGGAATCATGGGTCAAGATGTTTGGCTGCTGCTATTGCTGCTCCTTAAAGTCCAGTCCTTTTGGGGTCATTTTGTCAAGCCTAAAGGGTATTATGGGAAGTGTGCCCAGCCCAGCAGAGAGTGCTGGGCTGGGTGTTTGTGTATTTCTCAGGCATGGGCTTTAGGACATCCTGCAAGTATGGCCTAGGGATGAAATCTCCATACCAACATAGACTGGTACTTTTTTTTTTTGATGGTACAGGACTTGAATTGAATCCAAGGCCTTTTCACAGAGCTATGTCCCCAGCCCTTTAAAGTGACTATTATTATTATTATTATCATTTAGGCAGGGTCTTGCTAAGTCACCCAGGCTGGGCTCAAACTTTCAATCCTCCTACCTCAGCCTCCAGGAATGCTGGGATTACAGGTGTGCACCACCAAGCCTGACTAATACTTTTGTCTGTGGATTAACACTTCACTGCTGATGTGCCATGACTTTCTTTAAATAACTTCTACTGTACAAGCTTCAAAGTTATTTTCATGTTTATAGGGTATTATTTTAGAATGCTAAGTTATGAACCTGTTTATAAGGTACCCTAACAGGAGTTCCCTATTTATTTTTCATCATCGCCAGATTTTTTTTTCCACTGACAACAGGTAGAGATGGGGAACCCGTATGATTTGCCCCTTCTGGTAGGTCTAAGCTGCAAAAGCTTAAGGGTCATTTGCTTAGCAAGTGGACAGGGAGTGGGTGCCTGTGGGTCCATCTTGTGGAAAGAGTTTGGGAGAGGGAGCTCAGAGGTGTTTTAAAAATCAGGTTTTCAAAATGCTGATCCCCCCTCAGTGTGGCCCCTGTGCCCAGACCTGAGCCCTGGTGGTGATGCACATGGCAGTGGGCAGTGGTCCCACTCTGCTGGCCTGGTGCAAGGCAGCTATGGGCCACAGGCTCATGGCGGTGGTGGGGACAATCCTCAGGATGGAAGCCCTCAAGCCAGGCCCTGATGAAACCCCAAAGATGACCTGTGGGCCAGGACTAGTTGCTTGGTCCCAGGGATCCTGGCCCAGATGGTGGAGCAGACAGACTCCCCAGGTTTGCAGCTCAGGTCTTTGTGACCCTCGATGACTTGAGTTAGCCTCAGTTTTGCATCAGTCGTACAGGTTGTGGGAGTAGGGTTGTTTAACTGAGTTAATACACGAGAAGTGCACAGCATGGAGCCTGGTCTATGGCAAGTGCTTAGTAATGTTAGATATTGTTATTTTGTTCTAACTGATTATACTGCTTGGAGCCTAGCAGCATGGGTGAGGGTGAGGGTGTAGAAGGGCCGCTGAGTATAGCCCTCAGTATTTCCTTTGCTAAAAAAACAAAAATCTTGTTCTGATTATTCAATTTCAAGTGCCACCTAGTAGTCAAAAATTGGAGTAGGGCTGCCCAGGGCATTCAGGGCAAGTGTTCCAGCTGTACACGTTGTACACTGTATTACTCCAACAGGTGCCATTCTCCAGGCTACCATAAGAAGGAGGCCCTGGGTAGTGCACTGTGCAACCTGCAGGGCTGCACTCAGTGGGGCAGGCACAGGAAAAGGTGTGTGTGCATGAATACATCTGCCCCTTTCAGATCAGCCCAGTCCAGGCTGTGGCATAGAATCACCAGTGATTAAAAGCAGATTCCAGGGGCCTGGACTGTACTGGCATTTTCCCCTCTGGAGGGGCCCTCCAGACTCTGGGGAGGAGGGCCTTGAGTTCCATGCAGTCCTGCACTTTCCTGACCTGCTCAGTCCTCGGTGTCTCCTAGTGTCCTTGCTAATCTGCATCCTATCTCACACCCATTGGCCTCATCTGTCTGCCCTAGCTTTGTCTTCTTCTCAGCAGCAATGGCAGGAGAGTTAAAGCCTGGTTGTCCTGAGTCTTACTGATGGAGAGAATACTGTCTGTCAGCTTGGAGGTGGAGGCCTTGGCTACAGTCAGGGCTGGGGTGACCTGGCCACCTCTTCCTGGGACACACAATGGAGTCTCAGGGAGAACAGTTTTGCATCTGGAGGGCCTTATGGGGCTCGGAAAAGCCCACAGTAGCTTCAATCAAGGAAGCCCTGTGAGACCTGTGACTCCCTTGCTGTCTCCTAAGCTCTCTGAGTCCCCAGGGAGGGTAGTGACTGGGGACAAGGTGGAGGATTGCAGAAAGTAATGTGCCCCAAAGCCATGGGCTCTCCCAGGCCTTCGAAGAGGGTGCTGAGGAGGAAGCAGAAGAAAGCTGACAGCCACTGAGCCTCAGAATGAGGGGCGCTGGGCACAGAGGGGTGGCCCCAGAAGCTGAGGCTCCCCCAAATTACAGGCAGGGCAACAGCGGCAAGAAATTTCTGGGAGGCCACCCTGGTGTGGCCCCTCCACAGGCCAGAATCCACCAGCTTTCCTCAGCCCCTCCTGTCACCCCCTGAGGACCCAGCCCTGGAATTCCAAGGAGCAGGTCATTCCAGGTGCGACTCCCAGAGGGGCACAGCCTCCCCCCTGAGCAAAATAGAAGCAATCAAATAAATAGAATTCGATCATATTTTAAAATAAGCTTTATTTAGATTTTTTTTAATATTTTATATTTGCATCCATGCCTTCGAGAAACTTTTCCCATGGGAAAGGTTATTTTCAGCTAATGTTACCCATAACTCATTCGCTATTTGACGTAGTTCTCTTAAATAAATCATTCTTAGTAACTCTCAGAATTATCTCCCTAATTTACAAAAACTGAAATGAAAAGGAACTACTAAATCATTACCAGGAGTGGTTGTAATTGTATTTTCTCGTAGGTAAAGGAAAAACCATAAAAATCATCCAAAAAAAAAAAATTCATGGGGAAGAAAAGATTTTCTAAAATTAGACTCTGGGTGCCTGCTCCAGCCGCTACTCCTTACCACCAAGGCTCAGGTTCAGGGGGCAAAGCGGGCAGGCAGAGCCAGCTGAGGTGCCCTGTGTGCTCTCCCCGGCCCTGGCCCAGGTCGGAAGGGATGGAGGAGTTGACTGGGGCTTTCCGGTTTGTTTTAGAGACTTTGGACCCAATATCCTATCCACTCTACATGCTCCAGCATTTGAAAATCGTCTTGCTGCCTTCTAAGAGCTGAAAAGGTCACTGTTAGCAGAAGAGCCACGACTGCGGTCTAGAGGGTGGTTCGTACCGGGCGGTTAGTCATTAAGGAGAAGCGGGACAGGGTCGCAGGGCGAAGGGAAGGTGAAGGGAAGAGAGGCTGTGTCTGGGGCTCTCTCGTGGGCCTGAGTCAGAGTGCACACAGCTCCTGGCTGGAGGAGCCTCACTGGGGCCAGTGTGGGTCCCCAGATGGGCAGAGGCTCCTGCCAGCTTTCCTCTCCCAGGGGAGTGGACTCGGGCTGCTGTGATAGCTGGGAGGACAGGGCCTGAGGGTTCCCAAGAGACTCTAAGTGTGGCTGAAGGGCCAATCGGAACACGGCAGGCAGAGTCGGGTGCTGGATACTGTGTCCCCAGCAGCCCTCCACTGAAGATGGGTACCACCACCACGACAACTGCCTGGCCCATGTGCAGAATAACTGAGGTCAGGAAGGGCACAGCTGCGGCAGGAAGGTGCAGCTGGCCGCTCAGGCAACTGTCTCAGGCCCAGGTCCCTTTGGTGGCCCCTGCGGATGTGCCCTGCTGACTCTCCCTTTTCCCAAGGACAGGCCTGAGAGGAGCCTGTGACAGTCAGTGCTCTGCTCAGAGGTCGTGTTCTGTATGTCAGGTAACTAGAGAGAGAGAAAGGCTGGAGAAGAAGCACGAGGAGCAGCAGGTGGCCCTTTCATGCAGGGCAGCAGACAGGACAGACAGAGGAGAAAGGAAACGCAAGCCTGGCACCGATGGTCCCTGGTTCTGGCCACCCTAACCTCTATGTTGCGGCAGCATGAACATAGAACACACAAATCAACAGAAATCCCCCCCTCCCACCCACCCCATGGAAAAATATACATTCCGATATTTATGTAATAATTTAGATAGAATATGTCTTCTGCATTTGTGCAAATAAATTAAACAAGACAATTTTCTTTTTCTTTTTTCCATAAAGAAAGAAACGGCAATGCAATTTAAAAACAGGCAGGCCATTAAAAAGGGCCCGTGTGACCCCCTTAGCAGCCTGGCTGGGCTCGCGAGTCTTTGCAGAGAGTAACCTTACCCTGACGATGATGGCATTTTGTGGCTAAAGTGACTTGGGCGCACCCCGAGAACAGGGGTCTGGTCCTACATGGTCACACTGGGGGGTGACGGGAGGTGGGGGACATCAAAAACGGACCACGCCCTCAGCGAGATGGCTGGGGAGCAGCGGTTGGGACAGGGACATTTACAAGCACGGAGGGCGTGACAGTTTTGTTATTTACAAATACACAGCAGTCCTTCAAGTTTTCAAGTTTCATAAAAAGGAGGAGGAGGAGGAGGAGGGGAGGAGAGGAGAGAAAAGAAAGAAACCAACGAACCAAACAAAAAGAAAAAAAAAGACAACCAAACATTGAAAAAAATAATAAATCAGATTAACAAACACAACTGTATCGCTCCAAAGACAACAGTTGACAGAGTCACACACGTTTGCGGTATGTACATCAGTTACAGAGGTGGCGACGCAGGGAAGGGGCACACGGTTTCTGCCCCGCGGGACGCTCGGCCACACACAGCACCCATGTGTGGCAGCGAGGCCACACGCGCACGCGCACGCGCACCTCACCCGGGCCACGCCCCCCACGCTCGCACGCACGGCTACACACAGACACGCCCGCGGCGGCAGGCGAAGGCGGCAGGTATCACCAGTCCGCATCCTCCTCTATGTAATAATCAGGGGCGGTACCATCAAAGAGGCCGGGGTCGAGGGACTTCCGCTGCTTCCCCCTGGCGAAGACGCGGGAGATGGAGCCGAATCCCATCTTCTCTTTCTTCTTTTTCCGTTTTTGGTCTTCAAGATCCTCTAGTGACTGAGGAGGCAGGTGGAGGGCGGGGAGAAGAAAGAGAGAAGCTGAGCCAGGTGCTAAAGTCAGTGGGCCAGGATCGAGGTCACCGGGGAGGGGAAACAGCAGGTAAGTGGTCCCTGGGGCCAGATCCCAGGGTCTGCTTCTCACCCTCTCTAAGCCAACTGGGGCCAGTTCTGAAACTTTTCAGGGATGAGGGGACCCATCCGAGGTCGTAATGAGGGTGTCATTCTAGTGAGAACAAAGATCCTTAGAAGACTGCTGCATGTCTGTAATCTCAGCACTCAGGGAGGCTGAGGCAGGAGAATTGAAAGTACGAGCCTAGGCTGGGCAATTTAGCAACTCAGAGACTCTCTCAAAATAAGAAAATTAAACAGGGATGAGGATGTGGCTCAGTGTGAAGGCCCTGGGTTTGATCACTAGTACTATAAAAAGAAATTAAAAAAAAAAGATGCTCAACTGGCTGGCACATAAGAGGCATAGAATAGTCCAGAGTCTCTAGTGTCACCTGTACTATTATTATTTAAATTCAATTTGCCCAAGGCCTTCGGCACCTGCCCTGTGCGCTGTGTGTGTCTGTGTGGGCAGGAGCTAGGACGCCCTGGACAGGAACAGGATGGGCCATTTAGAGGGTGGGCAAGGGCTGGTGCCGATCAGGTCTCCCCTGTGGCCTTTTCTGAGCCAAGTTTCCCATCTGGGGTTGGAGACAGCAAGGACAATAAGGACAATGAGGAGGTTGCTCTGCCCACCCTGCCAGAGGAACTGCGGAATTGGAGGTAGGGTCTGTATTCGAGTTCTGCAGACTGCCAAGTGCTGTGTATACACAGACACATGGGTACTACCCACAGAAGGTTGGGGTTCACATCAGATGGAGATGCACAGCTCCCAGGACACCCAGAAGTCCCTGGACTCTCAGCCATCCACAGTGGCTGGGACACAGTCTCCGGGCAGAGGCCCAGGGACCTGCATTTCTTCCCCAGGGGAACCCAATGGGCTCAGACCAGTGTGTGGGGCCTCGGGGCCATAGATGCCCTCTGCAATCCCTTCGACCCTCATGTTATTGGTCCCTCCTCCAGCCCTGTCCTTGCTGACAACAGAATATTGAAAATGCCAAAAATGGGTAAAGTTTTTAGCAGAGCCCACCACCTAGGTTATCAGCCTTCAAAGAATAACAGTTTTTAAAACCTGCCTGCTGGGGAAGATGCTGGCCAGGGCAGCAGAACACAGGACGTGTGTGTGGTCTAGACACCGCACAGACTAGGTCCAGTGTCTGGCATAGGCACAGAAGAGGTGGCTGCAGGTACCAGCTCACGAGTGACCTGGGAATTGGCTCAGTTACTGTCCACCTTGGGAGCCCGAGAGTGGCAACAGGGAGGACAAGGGCCCAGGGATGAGGCAGTCAGGCTGTGGGGAAGGCACACCTACCTGTACAATAGGGTTGTGCAGGTTCTTCTGAACCGGGCCGGGACTGTCGCCCTGTGGCCAAAAGAGAAGAGGGAGATGAAACGGCAGAGCATGTGACACACTCGAAGGACACCATCCCTCCCGGCAGCCCCTCCTCTGTCATGTGGAACCCAGCCCCCAGCTCCTGGAGAAGACACTGCTAGATGGCTGGCTCAGGGGTCCTGGCCAAGAGGCCCTGGGGTGCTCCCTGCCTGCTCTGCCCTTTCAACCCCAACACCTTCTGATCAACAAATTAATGACACTAACAGGCATCTAGGTTCTCATCCCAGTTGGTCCACAGCATTCAAACTGGAGTAGGTTATATACTTGGTGCTTTTCATAAAGAAATATACTTTTCTATGTACTTTTCTCTAAAGCATAATGAGACGGGGACAGAAATGCACTGGGGAGATGATGCAGTGGCCAGCTTCCTCCACAAGCAGCACAGTCTGTGGAGGGGCCAGCAGGATGTGACTGTCCATCATCAGGAGCTCATGACAAGCAGAGCTGCAGCTCAGATTCAGGGTTGATCCTTCTAGCCCAGAAGCAGCTCCACACATTTTGTCCTCAGCTTGGGGCTGCCCGGGAGGCCCAGACAGCCCAGGGTAGGTGGGACATTTACCGTCTAATGCACTGCCAACCCTGCCCCAGGAGACTTCGGCTGGTCTGTGAATGCACAAAAGCCCTCACCAGGAATTAGTTTGCCCTGCTGAGGGCAGACACTGGATCAAGAGTTGTTCCTAGAGCCACCTGGAGGTAGTTTCTGGAATTGCAGAAAAAATGCCCACAAGGAAGTAAGTACTCATGTACTTACTAAGTACTCACTTGGACCAATGTCTATGTCTTCCAACCTCTCTGTGCCGAACCCTAAATTCTGCCCTAAACCATTGGCCACGGTGTGGGGGGAGAGGGTGAGGTTCTTGCCGATGCCAGGTCAGATGCCTGAGAACAGAGGTAACCTGCAGCTATTTTGGGACTCTTTCTAGCCTACCTGTGTGCACAGCTGAGATGGAGAGATAAGGAGTTTGGGGTCAGGGGAGAGAATATAAGAAATGATGGTTTAAGTGGGCATGGTGGTGCACACCTGTAATCCCAGCACTCAGGAGGCTGAGGCAGGGGAATCACAGAATTTGAAGCCAGCCTGGGCTTCATAGTGAATTCAAGGCCAGCCTGAACTACATATATAGCAAATAGCAAGATCCTGTCTCCAGAAAAACCAAAAAACCAAAGGTCTTTTGCTTCCTTTGTTAGGTTGATTCCTAGATATTTCATTTTTTAGATGCTATTGTAAAAGGAATTATTTGCCGAATTTCTCTCTCAATGGGTCTGCTATTTGCATATGGCTGCTATCAAGAAATCAACCAATAACAAATGCTGGTGGGAGTGTGGGGAGAAAGGAACCCTTCTCCATTGCTAGTGGGAGTGCTGACTGGTACAGCCACTGTGGAAATCAGTGTGGAGATACCTCAAAGAACTAGGGCTAGAGGTCCCATTTGACCTAGCTATTCCCCTGCTGGGTATCTTCCCAACAGAATTTTAAAAAGCATACCACAGTGATATATGTGCATCCAGGTTTATAGCAGCACAGTTTGTAACAGCTAAAGCTTGGAAACAGCCCAAGTGCCCATCAACTGGAAACTGGATAAAGAAGATGTGGTTTTTTTATAAAATGGAGTACTACTCAGCCATAAAGA